TCAAGACCAGCCTGGCCAAGATGGTGAAACCCTGTCTCTACTAAAAATAAAAAAATTAGCCAGGCATGGTGGCATATGCCTACAATCCCAGCTACTCAGGAGGCTGAGTCAGAGAACTGCATGAACCCAGGAGGCAGAGGTTGCAGTGAGCAGAGATCACAGCACTGCACTACAACCTGGGCAACAGAGCAAGACTCCATCTCAAAAAAAAAAGAAAAAGAAAGTGTCCCAAGAGGAGTGTAGATGACACTTGAAGCATCTGGCAAGGAGAAAAGCACCTCGGACGCAGAAGCCCCTGGAGAGCCTGGGGGAGGAGCATCCATCTAGCTGCCTCTTCAAAGCTCTAAGGTCTGTGGGGAGGCTGGACAGGACAGCTGAGAGTAGTCAGGGACCCACATTTCTTTTTCTTTTTCTTTTTTTTTGAGACAGAGTTTTGTTCTTGTTACCCAGGCTGGAGTGCAGTGATGCGATCTCGGCTCACCACAACCTCTCCTCCTGGGTTCAGGCAATTCTCCTGCCTCAGCCTCCTGAGTAGCTGGGATTACAGGCACGCACCACCATGCCCAGCTAATTTTTTGTATTTTTAGTAGCGACGGGGTTTCACCATGTTGACCATGATAGTCTCCATCTCTTGACCTCGTGATCCACCTGCCTCAGCCTCCCAAAGTGCTGGGATTACAGGCGTGAGCCACCGCGCCCGGCCTTCTTCTTTTTTTTTTTTTTTTTGAGACAGAGTCTTGCTCTGTTGTCCAGGCTGATGAGCAGTAGTGTGATCTTGACTCACTGCAACCTCTGCCTCCCGAATTCAAGTGATTCTCCTGCCTCAGCTTCCCGAGTAGCTGGGATTACAGGCATATGCCACCACATTTGGATAATTTTTGTATTTTTAGTAGAGACAGGGTTCCCCATGTTGGCCAGGCTGGTCTCGAACTTCTGACCTCAGGTGATCCACCTACCTCGGCCTCTCAAAGTGCTGGGATGACAGGCATGAGCCACTGCGCCCAGCGTCCTTTTTTATGAAATGGAGTCTTGCTCCGTTGCCCAGGCCGGAGTGCCACAGAGTGATCTTAGCTCACTGTAACCATCGCCTCCTGGGTTCAAACAATTCTCTTGGCTCAGTCTCCCAAGTAGCTGGAATTACTGGCACGAGCCACCATGCCAGCCTTTTTTTTTTTTTTTTTTTTTTTTTTTTTGAGACAAGGTCTCACTCTGTTGCCCAGGCTGGAGTGCAGTGATGTGGTGATGCAATCTCAAGTCACTGCAGCTTCGACCTCCCGGCTCAAGCAATCCTCCCACCTCAGCCTCCTGAGTAGCTGGGACTACAGGTTCATACCTGGCTAATTTTTGTATTTTTTTTGTAGAGACAGGGTTTCAGCACGTTGCCCAGGCTGTTTTCAAACTCCTAGACTCAAGTGATCCTCCCACCTTGGACTCCCAAAGTGCTGGGATTACAGCCAGCACTCCAGGGCATTCATTTTGTGGTGTGCAATAGACAGACAGTAACATCTGGCAACAGTGGTGAGAGGGTGTTGGGATGGAGCCTGGGGAAGGGAGATGAGTTCCTGAGCCAGGGACAGGCCTGACACCGGGTCCTGGCAGAACCCCCAAGAGGGGGAGGACTCCAGAGATGGTATGGAGGAGATAGAATCAGCAGGAATTGTAGCTGGTTGGACATGGGGCACAGTCGGGGGAGGAGTCAGAGTGACTCAGACTTGCATCCCTGGGGCTGGAAGAATGGCACAGCCATGATTAGAAATGGGAGAATAGGAGGAGAGAGTTGTGGGAGAGGTGTTGGCAGCAGAGCTATTTATGGTAATCTCCAAACTTATTTCCCTGCCAGCTGTCTGTGCCCCCCCCACCCCATCTGCCCACCTGCTGCTTCCAGCACTGTCCTCTTAAAGCTCAGCCCTGAGCAGCTCAGATACCCACAGGAGCTTCCCATGCCACCCACAATCAACTCTAACAGTCCATGGCCTTCACTCCCTCTCCTCTCTTCTCTTCTGCTCTTTCCCTCTCCCCAGGATCCCTAAACGAAGTGTTCTCCTGAATTGTCACTACCTCTGTGCCCTTGCGTTGTCCCCTCCCTCCACCAAACAGGTTCTCTGCTGCCCACAGCTGAACCCAACTCACACTTAGTGACTGCTATGGACTGAAGGTTTTTTTGTTTTGTTTTCTCTCTCTCTTTTTTTTTTTTTGAGACGGAGTTTTGCTGTTGTTACCCAGACTGAAGTGCAATGGCACGATCTCGACTCACCTCAACCTCCACCTCCTGGGTTCAAGCAATTCTCCTGCCTTAGCCTCCTGAGTAGCTGGGACTACAGGCGCCCACCAGCATGCCCAGCTATTTTTTGTATTTTTAGTAGAGACAGGGTTTCACTTTGTTGACCAGGATGGTCTCAATCTCTTGACCTTGTGATCCACCAGCCTCAGCCTCCCAAAGTGCTGGGATTATAGGCATGAGCCACCGCGCCCGGCTGTTTTCTCTTTTTTTTTTTTTTTTTTGGAGATGGAGTCTTGCTCTGTCGCTCAGGCTGGGGTGCAGTGGTGCGATCTCAGCTCACTCCAACCTCTGCCTCCCAGGTTCAAGTGATCCTCCTGCCTCAGCCTTCTGAGTAGCTGAGATTATAGATGTGTACCACCATGCCCAGCTAGTTTTTGTATTTGTAATAGAGACAAGGTTTCACCATGTTGGCCAGGTTGGTCTTGAACTCCTGACCTCAAGCAATCTGCCCTCCTCGGCCTGGACTGAATGTTTGTGTCCCCCAAAATTCATATGCTGAAGCCCTAAGCTACAGTGTGATGGTATTTGATGGCAGGGTCTCTGGGAGGTAATTAGGTCATGCCCTCATGAATGGGATTAGTGCCCTCATCAAAAGAGATAGGTGAGAGAAGAGCTCTCTCTGCTATGTGAGGTCATCACCAGAAAGAGGGCCATCACCAGGAACCAAATCAACCAGCATCTTGATCTTGGACTTTTCAGAATCCAGAACCAACAGATAAAAAAAATTGTTGTTTATTTTATTTTATGAGACGAAGTCTTACTCTGTCGCCCAGGCTAGAGTGCTATGGAGCAATCTCAGCTCACTGCAACCTCCACCTACTGGGTTCAAATGATTCTCCTGTCTCAGCCTCCCAAGTAGCTGTGACTACAGGCGCCCACCACCATGCTTGGCTTATTTTTGTATTTTTAGTAGAGATGGGGTTTCACCATATTGGTCAGGCTGATCTTGAACTCCTGACCTCGGGTGATCCACCCATCTTAGCCTCCCAAAGTGCTGGGATTACAGGCATGAGCCACCACGCCCGGCCGATTCTGTGATTTAAACCACCCATCCTGAACTAAGATGACCCAGTCCCAGTCTACTTTCACAAGCCTGCACTGAGGGTAGGGGGCTAGGGGACACAGCATTCATTCACCTGAGTCATCAAGAGCACAAAAGCTATCTGATTTTAGCTTTGGAAAATGGACATCAGTGGGGTTTGGAAGCAAATATGCAAGATTTTGAAATGCTATTTAACTTCTTGAGATTTTCTCTCTCATCACTTAAGTTAATCCTAAAAATTCCTATTATTAATAAAACTAGACAGCCAAGAGCCATTTGCAGTGGCACACACCTGTAATCCGAGCACCTTGGGAGGCTGAGGCAGGAGGATGGCTTCACCGCAGGAGTTTGAGGCCAGCCTGAGTGACATAGCTTTATCCAATAAAAACCAGACAGCCAGAGGTGGGGCCAGGGGAAATGATTAAAAGCCATTAAAAAGAATGAGGTGCAACATTACCATACTGGCAGCAGATTCCTAGCGTATACAGATTCCATCCAATTTGCAGAAATAATTTGTATGGTTCAGGGTCTTATCCCCTGGGCTAGTCAGTTAACCTCTCTGGGCCTCAGTTTCCTCATCTACAAAATGTGGATAATAACAGCACCTACTCCTAGGGTAGTTCTGAGGGTTAAATGAACTCATGCAGATAAAATGCTTAGAACGGTGCCTGGCACACATTGAGGAGACCTGCTGCAGGTGGTGTTAATATCACTAGATCATTCACATCTACATACACTGTACTAGTTGGTTGTTTTTTTTTTTTTTTTTTGAGACAGAGTCTTGCTCTGTCACCCAGACTGGAGTGCAGTGGCACGATTTCGGCTCACTGCAACCTCCACTTTTGGGTTCAAGCAGTTCTCCTGTCTCAGCCTCCTGAGTAGCTGGGATTACAGGCACTCACCACTACACTCAGCTAATTTTTGTATTTTTAGTAGAGACAGGGTTTTGCCATGTTGGCCAAGATGGTCTCAAACTCCTGACCTCAAGTGATCTGCCCACCTTGACCTCCCTAAATGCTGGGATTACAGGCATGAGCCACTGAGCCTAGCCTACACTGCACCAGTCTACTGAGGCCCTGTGACATGCCCTGACCCAGGGATGGACAAGAGGGCATGTTCCTTTCCTGAGAGGACCTCAGTCCACTGGGAAACATGGGGAAATGAATGTGTCAACAGATATTTCAAAACTGTGGATTGGCCAGGTGAGGTGGCTCATGCCTGTAATCCCAGCACTTTGGAGACCAAGAAGGGAGGATTGTTTGTGGACAGGAGGTTGACATTGCAGCCGTATTTGTGTCACTGCACTCCAGCCTAGGTGACAAAGTGAGGCCCTGTCTCAAAAGAGAAGAAAAATAGAATGAGAGAGAGAGTGAAGGAAGGAAGGAAGGACTCCCTACCTCAGGACTCTCAATTTCTTCTTTATACATTTTTGTGGGATTTGAATATCATGTAACAAGCACCTGTACTTTTTGTGTGTGTGCACATATACCAGCTACTTTATGTTCAATAAAGGAATGAGGAAGGGGAAATGAAAGCATAGAGAAAACTATACAGTAGTTGTCAGGATTCGTGGAACGAAATTGCAGTTTTCTAACTGAGAATGTAATCTGTCTTTTTTTTTTTTTTTTTTTTTTTGAGATGGAGTCTTGCTCTCTCTCCCAGGCTGGAGTGCAGAGGCTCTATCTCGGTTCACTGCAACCTCTGCCTCCTGGGTTCAAGCAATTCTCCTGTCTCAGCCTCCCAAGTAGTGGGGATTACAGGTGCATGCCGCCATGCCCAGATAATTTTTGTTTTCCCAAACTGTCCCAATAATTAATATAAATATACATATGTATATATTTACATATACAAATGCAAAAATAAGTGAGCATTTATTTTTGTGCCTTTCTTCCTATGTACATTTCTTTTTTTCTTTTTCATTTTTAAAGACTAGTCAAGTGCAGTAGTGAGAAGGGAGGAAAAGAGTAGAACAAGGAGTTCGATCTGTAGGGAGCCTTGTACAAATGTTAGAGTTACTCATTCACCAACATTAAACCCTAGGATAGAAGATGCAACAAAGCAGGACTCCTTCCTTCATGGAATGTGCTGACTTCAGACGAGGTGGCAGCCAACATAGAAAACGCTGGAATGTTTCCTTGAAGTGGACAGTGATGAGAGGCGCTTGCCATGAACATCAGCTACTGTCTTTTTTTTTTTTTTTTTTTGGAGGTCTCCCACTTTATTGGTATCAGAATTACCTGGAGAGTTTGTTAGAAGGGTAGATCCCAGAACCCCGCCTCCCCCACCAACACCACCACCACCTCCTCCAAAGTCCTGAGCAGCTGGAGGTACACAGTCATGTTGAAGGGGGAGGAGAACTGATGGATTCTACCTGAGGCAAAAAGATGAGGGAAAGGAACAAAGAAAAAGGGCTGAAAAAAAGGTCTATGAATACATGGGCAGAAATGAGCAAAAGCACAGAAGAACCATAAAATAGCAAACATGGCTCATGCAGCTGAGTGGAACAGCAGCAGCCAGACAGGCACATGACCTTGGTGAGAAAGCACCACGTGGGCATGAGGCTTCATAAATCCTGGTTCTCCCTGGAGTCTCTGCTTTTAGAACACCACGTTAACCACAGAAAATTCTCAAAAAAAATTCCAGAATATCAGGCTGGGCAAATGGGTCAACATATAAGAAAGAATGACTGCAAGGCAGGCCAGGTGTAGTCCTGCAACACCCTATGGATGCAGCAGCTGTGGGGGTCTCAAGATCAGACAAACTGGTCCTGATACCCCCAATCTAAGTATGAGCTCCCTGGGCAGAATTCTTCCATGTGCAGTGAATGTCAGTGTCAGCTCTGGGGCATTGCAATCTCCTCCTGGATATGGAACTGGAGGGCTTCTCGCATGGGTGGATCCAGAGGCTTGCGTGCCGACATCTCCTCAACCTGATACACCATAACTGATGTGACCTCTCCACTGTCTGCCTGGTATTCCAAGTGGAAGAGCTGATAGCCAGAAGGCTCCAGCTCGGGGCCTCCACTACTGCTGCTTTCACCTGACTCTTGACCGTCTGGGCTGCGTGGGTGGGCGGAGACAACTCAGGGTCGCGTTAGGTACACCGGCAGGTCTGGCTCCCGGGGCCACCTAGGCGCGGGCGTCTGCTGCGTCCTCACCTTCTCCTTGGCCGCCTGCTTCACCTTCTTGTCGCAGTCGTCCCGGGCGATCGGGTTCCGTCGGATATTGTGCACGAAGCCGTGGTTCATGTCCAGCCGCCCGCGAGGCCTGCAGGAGTGACCCGGGGATGCGGCCCTGTCTCCGAATGGAGACGGGGACGCAGAGTCGCCGCAGCCTCGACGGCCCCAACAACCGCCCCCCGCCCAAAGAAGTCCGCACCGCCCCTCGTTCAGCTTCCAGCCCACGCCCTGACTTCCGGAAGTGACCATCTTTTCTTTTTTTCTTTTTTTTTTTTTTTGAGCTGGAGTTTCGCTCTTCTTGCCCAGGCTGGAGTGCAACGGCAGGATCTTGGCACAACGCAACCTCCACCTCCCGGGTTCAAGCGATTCTCCTGCCTCCGCCCCACCCAAGTAGGTGGGATTACCGGCATGCGCCACCACATCTGGGTAATTTTTGTATTTTTAGTAGAGATGGTGTTTCTCCATGTTGGTCAGGCTGGTCTGGAACTCTGTACCTCAGATGATCCACCTGCCTCGGCCTCCCAAAGCTCTGGGATTACAGGTGTGAGCCACCACTCCCGGCCATCTACTGTCTTTTCTTTGACCCTTCATGTCCAGTTTTTGAAGATAAAGCAGAAAATAATCTTCTCTGATGGTACTTGATAAAAATTCCTAAAAAAAACAAAACACATGCTTCCACTTTGCTGATGAAAATTGACTGCAGTTTGGCACCTGGGTCTGGTTCCGGCGTTCATGTCGATAGTCAGGTGTGCCCATCTCCTTGAGGAAGCCCGCTTATTGTTGGTAGCAAGACGGGCCACTGAGAGGTGGAAAGGGCACAAGAACCATGTAATCTCCTGGAAATGCTTCTCTGGGAAACCAAATTCATGAATGAGGTGTTGCAAGGAAATGCCACCAAACGTCCTCAGGTGCTCCTCAGTCGCTGTGTTGTCTGTTGGAGGAATGGCCTAATTCTTGACCTCAGCTTGTTCATGTTTCAAAATGAGTTTCTGGATACACTTCAGTTGGGAAATCCCCAGGTCATGTAAGTTTCCACTATACATTTTTAGGTTCTGGGGAGTGACTTAACATAGACTGCTCCAAAAATGTTCTTTAGGCAAATTCTTGCCTTGGTTCTCTGCCCCAGTAAACTCACACATAATCCTTTCAATGCCTACGACAAAGGCCAAGGAATGCTGATCTGGAAATTCCAAGGCGTGAAGTTTCACTTCTTGTCGTCTGAGACACACCTTGTCACGTTTCTGTTGCCAGGACTCAGGAATGATTCCAGTCGCTTAAACCTGGCCCTTTTCCTTTCCTCTGCTCCTCCTTTGCCGAAAGTTCCTGCTTTGCTTGGGTGGCTTTGAGGGCTTGATAAGCCTTCCTCTTTTTCAGGAGATTTTCTGGAACGAAAGCGATTTTTTTTTTTTTTTGCTCTTGCTCTGCCATCTTCCTACTGTTCTAATGTAAGCGTATTTTTAAGTTACAAACACATGGAATTTAGGAGCTGTCTTTTTTATAGTGATTTTATATTTCATTGCGATAGGTCTTGCTAAAGAAAAAATGATTCATGGCACTTGTTAAAGATGGCAAGGCAGATTTTATCCAAGGTGAGTGATGGTGATAGGTATAGGGACCACTGTGATCTGGTCTTGTAGTGGGGGAGAGAGTGGACTCACTCCAACTCCGACAAGGACAGGTGGGGATCTGTAACCAAGGAGTGGGGGTTGGGTGTCAGTGGATGGAAAAGTACTAAAAAGAAACATGGAGGATGAAAGGGCTTCTGTTCTGGCTAAACTGACTGATAGCATTATTGCTAAAGGCAAGCCAGGGTGATAAAATATCAATGGGGGTCAGATACTATGGTTGGGGCGACACTTGCCTGCCTGCTTTCCCTCCTTCCGTTCCTTCCTTCCTGCCTTCCTGCCTTTCTTTTTCTCTTTCTTTCTTTTTTTATTGACACAGCCTCTCACTCTATCATCCAGGCTGGAGTGCAGTGGCACCTCAGCTCACTGCAGCCTTGACCACCTGGACTCGGGCGATCCTTCTGCCTCAGCCTCTTAGTAGCTGGGACCACAGTCATGCGCCCCTACACCCAACTAATTTTTTTATATTTTTTTGTAGAGATGGGGTTTTGTCATGTTGTCCAGGCTGATCCACTCACCTTGGCCTCCCACAGTGCTGGGATTATAGCCGCAAGCCACTGAGCCTGGCCCAGATTTTATTAAAGTGACTTAGCAGATCATTTGCTCAAAATGGATTCTATAAAGACAGAGAGGGAAGACTGAGGTCAGGCCTCGGGAGGCAGTGGACTCAGAGGAGACTGACTGAAGTTTTGGCCAAGGGAAGTCTTTGTGAGTTTATAATATGTCCTCTTGGGGATTTACTGACTCTTCTTTGGTGGTCCAGTGTGTGGTCAGATTTGTAAGGTCCAGGTGTTTTTGTTTTATTTGACATAGGGTCTCACTTTGTCACCCCGGCTGGAGTGTAGTGGCCTGATCTCGGCTCGCCACAACCTCCGCCTCCTGGGTTCAAGCCATTCTCCTGTCTTAGCCTCCCTAGTAGCGGGGATTACAGGTGTGCACCACCACGCCTAGCTACTTTTTGTATTTTTATTAGAGACGAGGTTTGGCCATGTTGGCCAAGCTAGTCTCCACCTCCAGACCTCAGGTGATCCGTCTGCCTCAGCCTCCCAAAGTGCTGGGATTACAGGCCTGAGCCTCTGCATCTGGCCCTCGGTATTCTTTCTTTCTTTTTTTTTTTTTTTTAATACAGTGGCTTTATTTCCATTATTTAGAGTCCCCAGCATCCCATCTGATAAGAACCTTCAATTCTATGAACAAAAATATTTCAAGAAAGTACGTTACACGATAGTACATATAAGTAATAGTTTGGCAGAATTTTATCAACTCTAGTAGTTCTTACCCCCAAAAAATAAATTTTAAAATTCAAAATCAACAGCTTTATTTAACATATGTTACTGCTTTTTTTTTTTTTTTTTTTGGACAGACTTTCACTCTTGTTACCCAGGCTTGGAGTGCAATGGCGCCATCTCGGTTCACTGCAACCTCCGCCTCCTGGGTTCAGGCAATTCTCCTGCCTCACCCTCCCGAGTAGCTGGGATTATAGGCACGCGCCACCATGCCCAGCTAATTTTTTGTATTTTTAGTAGAGATGGGGTCTCACCATGTTGACCAGGATGATCTCTTGACCTCATGATCCACCCACCTCGGCCTTCCAAAGTGCTGGGATTACAGGCTTGAGCCACTGCTCCCGGCCCATATGTTATATCTTAACATTTAAAATATCATGCTCTAGTTAAATATTTCAACAACACTGTATACAAATAAAATATTACACAAAATATATTTAAGAAAATGTTTTGGTCTTTGAAAAATAAAAAAAAAAACACATGCACTTCTCTTTTTTTTTTTTGAGACAGAGTTTCACTGTTGTTACCCAGACTGTAGTGCAATGGCACGATCTCAGCTCACTGCAACCTCCGCCTCCTGGGTTCAAGCAATTCTCCTGCCTCAGCCTCCCAAGTAGCTGGGACTACAGGTGCGCACCACCATGCCGAGCTAATTTTTGTATTTTTAGTAGAGACGGGGTTTCAACTTATTGACCAGGATGGTCTCGATCTCTTGACCTCGTGATCCACCTGCCTAGGCCTCCCAGAGTGCTGGGATTATAGGCGTGAGCCACCGCACCCAGCCTACCTCAAATACTTATTTTTATGGCAAGAACATTTGAAATTTACACTTAGTGACTTTGAAATGTATTAGCACGTTATTATTTACTACGTTCAGCATGCTGTACAATACATCTCAAAGAAAGAACGTATTCCTCCTGTTTAATTAAAGCCTTGTACCCTCTGACCATCCTTTCTCCCAAGGTTTTGTTTGTTTTTTTTTTACTAGCAGCCTAATAGTCTATCATATGCTTCTCCCTGGAGCAGGGGCTCAGGAATCAGTCAGGTGAATATTCTGTCTTCATGTCTTACAAACTATGTAACTTTTTTTTTCTTGAGACAGAGTCGTCCTCTGTTACCAGGCTGGAGTACAGTGGTATGATCTCGACTCACTGCAACTTCTGCCTCCCTTCAAGTGATTGTTCTGCCTCAGCCTCCCAAGTAGCTGGGACTGCAGGCGCTCACCACTACTCCGGATGATTTTCATATTTTTGGTAGAGACAGGGTTTCACCACGTTGGCCAGGCTGGTCTTGAACTCCTGACCTTGTGATCCTCCCACCTCAGCCTCCCTGGGTTTACAGCCTCCCTCAGCTGGGTTTACAGGCCAGAGCCACCACACCTGGCCCAAACTATGTAACTTTTGACAAGTAATTTTAACCCTCTAGGCTTTAGCTCTCATGGGAGATGGCCAGGTCTTAAAAGGAGTTAGTTTCGTAGTTGGATCAAAACCTAACTGATTGAGTTAGAAGCCCTACATCAACTGAAATGTGGATTGTTAACTCTAGAATAGTCTTCTTACTCATAAAAGTCTCCTAAAGCCGGGCTCACACCTGTAATCCAAGCACTTTGGAGGCCAAGGTGGGTGGATCACCTGAGGTTGGGAGTTCAAGACCAGCTTGACCAACATGGTGAAATCCCATCTTAAAAAAAAAAAAGTCTCCTAAAGACCTAGGATAGGCCACATTTTGTGAGTCCACGGTTTTATTGTCTGTGACTAAGAACAATAAAACCGCACTGAAACAATGCCCTGTGGTGGTTGTAAGCTGAAGTCAGGATTGGCGGCATGAAGGGGTGGCAATTGAATCACTTAATAAAATTCTCTTATCAGATGATCAGATTATTCTTTATTTGTAGAGCTAGTGGTTCCCTGAGGTCTCCAAGTTGTCCTAGCTGGTTGCCTTGGGAGAGTTTCCAGACTTCTCTGTGGTTCACTTTTTCATCTGTAAAATGGGGAGAGCAACAGCTTTGTACCAACCTGACGGTAATGTCATGCTGGTTAAAAAATACTCAACTAGCCGGGCACAGTGGCTCATGCCTATAATCCCAGCAATTTTGGGAGGCTGAGACAGGTGGATCACTTGAGCTCAGGAGTTCAAGACCAGCTTGGCCAACATGGTGAACCCCTTCTTTACTAAAAATACAAAAATTAGCCAGGTGTGGTGTCATGTACCTGTAATTTCAGCTAATAGGGAGGCTGAGGCAGGAGAATCGCTTGAACTTGGTGGGGGGAGGTTGCAGTGAGCTGAGATTGCACCACTGCACTCTAGCCTGGGTGGCAGAGTACAACTGTGTTTCTCA